AAAAAAATATTTTTTGAGGATTATTGCGGAAAACTTTACTGGGTTTTCTGTTTGCTAGATTTTCTCTGCTTCAAAAATTTGGCCATTTTCTTTGGTGTTTTTTTTTGAGTGTTTTTGCGGTTGTGGAGGACTTTGATCTGAGAAAGTTGGGAGGCTTTTATATTCAGCATTTTTTTTTAAAAAAAATACAGTTTTGGTTTTCAGTGATTGGAAAGTGGTAATCTTTTTTGGGGTGGTTTAAACATGTCTGATGGGTACTATAATTCGAAGAAGACTGATGATATCTGTGAAGAAGTTTGTGGACAGGTAATTTTCTCTGCTTTCACTTCCCAAGTTTTTGTTTTTGCTTTTTTAAAAATAAAAAATTACTTCAATTTTTGGGTTTGGGTTAATGGGATTTTTTTTCTTGAAGTTCATCTTTGCTCTTTGTATTTTATAATTTTTTTTTTGGAAAAAAGTTTTCAGTTTGGTTTTGATTTCTGGATAGTTGGTTATTGTTTCAGATTAATGGCAAAGCGGGAAAATTCTTTTATGGAAGTTATATGCTTCAAATACAAATACAAAAAAAAAATAGTGAAGTTTTAGGGTCTTATATGAACTGTTGAAAAAGTATGAAGTTTGGTTATTTTTTCATTTTTTAAAAAATTTTTTTGTGCTTTTTCCCCTTTTGATATTTTTTTGGGTACTTAATTTTTGTTTTCATAAAGTGGTTGATTGGCAATGTATTTTGAAGGAATAGGAGAATTACTGGGTTTAGACATGGAACATGAGAGTGGAAATTTTTGAATGCTTTTCTGCATTGATGTCTCAGCCAAGAGTTTCATCAAAACCTTGAACTTATAGTATTTGGAGGTTTTAACATTTAAATTGAGTTTTGATATAGAGATAATGTTGTAAAGAAGGTATAATTGGTTGTATGTGGGAATATGATGTAATTCTTGTTTTTATCATCTTAAAATTTAGATTTTATTTCCTTATTTATAACTTGTGCTTAAGCTTGGTATCTTAGAAGGTTTTCATTCTTTAATCTGCAGCAGGCGTCCTGGGCAGCATTGACCATGTCTAGATTGCGGTGCATGTTGCGGGGATTCGATATCAAGACTTATATTTTCCTGCTTGTGGTTATCCCGGTATTCATCTTTGGCATATATTTGCATGGGCAGAAAATCACCTATTTCCTAAGACCAATATGGGAATCTCCTCCTAAGCCTTTCCATGAAATCCCTCACTATTATCATGAGAATGTGACAATGGAGACTCTCTGCAGCCTTCATGGGTGGAAAATTCGTGAGTCCCCTAGACGAGTCTTTGATGCAGTGTTGTTCAGCAACGAGATAGATATTCTCAAACTTCGTTGGAATGAATTGTATCCATACATAACGCAATTTGTGCTTCTTGAGTCCAACTCGACATTCACTGGCTTACCAAAACCATTGATTTTTGCTAGCAACAGACTGGAATTTAAATTTATTGAGCCTCGTTTGACATATGGGATGATTGGTGGGAGATTCAAGAAGGGAGAAAACCCTTTTGTTGAGGAGGCATACCAGAGAGTTGCTTTGGACCAGCTTATCAGAATAGCTGGTATAGAAGATGATGATTTATTGATTATGTCTGATGTGGATGAGATCCCTAGTGCACATACCATTAATCTATTGAGATGGTGTGATGGTGTACCACCTGTCATTCATCTTCAATTGAGAAACTATTTGTACTCTTTTGAGTATCATGTAGACAACAAGAGCTGGAGAGCCTCAGTCCACAGATATAAGACAGGAAAGACAAGATATGCTCATTATCGTCAAGCTGATGTCATTTTGTCAGATGCAGGGTGGCATTGTAGCTTTTGCTTTCGGCATATTCGTGAGTTTATATTCAAGATGAAAGCTTACAGCCATACTGATAGAGTGAGGTTCTCTCACTACTTGAACCCCAAGAGGATCCAGGATGTAATATGCAGAGGGGCTGACCTATTTGACATGATTCCTGAGGAATACACGTTCAAGGAGATCATTGGGAAGATGGGACCTATCCCTCACTCCTATTCAGCTGTCCATCTGCCTGCGTATTTGTTGAATAATGCGGAAGAATACAAATATCTTTTGCCTGGTAACTGCAAAAGAGAAAGTGGCTGAGTCGAGAAAATTGTGTGCTGTAAAAATCTCCAATTACAAGTTGTGCCTGCACCGGAAAGGGCTGCATTGGCCATTTGATGGCTATGGTGTAGCATTGATAAGTTACCTTTATCCAACAAAATCTAGGCATTATAGTGAAGCTGGGTAGAACTTGATGGGATCTATGACTGTGAGGGGAAACATTATATGTGTCCTCTTTTTGAAGTTGGTTTCTTCCGTTATGGAGGCATATCCAATTTCCCTATCCGAGAGCTTGTTGTGAGGGAAGTAGATGTTTTGGTTTGGAAAGCTTACATGCCACCTCCTGTTGGTCTGACATTTCCCCGAACTGCATGAATGAGTAGAATGAGATTTCCCAGATTTTTCCTTGATGGGAATTTTGTTTTTCTTGGACTAATTGATTCGTATATCTCCTCTTACAAAGTAGTACTGACATATGACAATAACTCGGTGATTTGTATCATTTGACTGCTCTTTGTTCTTCCATTGATCATAATGTTGAATGATTCATTTCCTACTGGATTACATTTTGTTACTTTTCTCAGGCAATGTTTCAATTTCTTCCAGCCTCTCAATTCCCTTTAGCTCCAAACTCTTTGTTGCTGTCTATTTCTGTATTTTCCTTTTTTGTAAATTTTCAACACGTTTAAGGTTGGCATAATGAGGAAACTTTTCAGAATAGGTCAACCCTTCTTCCTTTCATGGAATCATTTGGATTGTAATTCCCTAGCAAAGGCCATATAGTAATTGAAAAACGGATGTTATTCTCAATTTTTGTTTTTCTATAGATGAAATCTTTACAATTAACCTTAGTTTTTATAATTTGGGACTGACTTGACAAGGTCAAGGCACCTTTCAATCATTTTGATTCAGAATTTTTTTTTAGTAGATTGAGGTTGCTTCACCACATACTTCCCCACCAAAAGCCAAGTACTAGATAGAAAAGTGCGTAAAACCTTCTGATTCCCCGCTGAAAGTGCCTGTATTTGTAGACACTTGGATTTGTTTTTGTGGTTTGAGGACTGCTCATTGTCAGCCAGTGTTTATCTGGGGTTTGTTTCTTCTAAGGAAGTCAAATCCCAGAGCGGCTAGTTCCCCAGATACTGTTTCCCAAGGATGTTTAATTTGCTCATTTTTCTTTGTTGGCCGAACAACAGTTTTCTATATGACTTTGAGCAGCATTTTTCCAAAAAAATAAGACCTTGAACACAATGGATGGTGCAATTTGCTCTTTCTTTGCCTTTTCTGATGGATGAAAACTGAACAGAGGACATTTTTCTCTGTTCACAACTGTGTTGCCTTTAAAATCAAGCAAGTCCCTTGATGCCAAAAGTTCATTTCCATCATTGTTAAGCATTTTCATCTATAATCTTCTAAACAAGTAGTGCTTTGAAAAAGCTATTATTAATCCCATCAAGATTACAGTAATGGTTGTTGAACTCACAGGATTGGTTTTTTCCTCCATATTCCTAACCTCCAGAGAAACTGTTTCCCTACTTCTAAACTGTTCAAAAATATATATTTATATATTCAAAAGTGAAACAATTAGCCAAAACTTTTCAGCTGTCAGTAATGAAAATTTCAAACCACTTAACAAAGATTATGGCATGGGGTCAAAAAACTTGTTTCACCAATCCGCAGATTGCTTCTTCTGCTTTGGTTGTTTCAATGCATACGCCATGGCTGCATGACCTTGACCAGGTTCCGTCCACTTCAATGGATGAGGGAACCATGTAATGCAGTAACTAGGAAACTTCTTCTCCTCTTATCATTTGTTCGGTCATTTTCATCTGTACTTCTCATCTACCCTAACTCCTGCTTAAACTATATTATCAAAGAGTACTTAAACGTTTACATGCCCTTTTGCCCCGTTGACTAGTTGTTTAAAACAGA